GGGGGTGGGGGGTGGGGGTGGAGGATTTTGGGGGATAATGTGGTTTGAGGGGGAAAGGAAAGGGGGTCAGTCACCGCTAACAGAGTATAAAGACTGACTTCAAATTAACTGGTAATGAGGGGGTGGAGGGTAATAAATATCTTATAGAACTTTATAGGGATCTATTGAATATTTTATCGTGATTCAACCAAAATCCTTCAGCCCCCTCCCCCCTCCCCCCCAAGGCGATAAATTATGAACGGTCCCTTTACATGGCTTTATCTATTGACTTCAAGTAAAAGCGATGTTCTGTTTGCAGGTTGTCCGTTTGGCAATATAGTCGCCATACCTCTCACCGGAGTATTATCCAAGTATGGTTTTGATGGTGGATGGCCGTCAGTGTTTTACTGTATAGGTAAATAGTTATTTCAACATTGGAAACTGTTTTAAATGCGGCAGAATCCCGCTTAATGGAACAAGACCTGGCTTCTCTTGGATTTGACCCCATTTTTGCCGTCATGTACTATCAGCTTACTCGAACTCGTTTATTCGAATTCCCCGTTAAATCAAACTAGTTTTACTTTCCCTTCGCTAAAATTTACTCTGATAACTTAAAACCTTAAGTGAAAACGTTGGTTGACTAACGTTACAGCATCAGAATATAGCTGATTGACAGTTACCGTTCTGTAATCGTGATTGATACAAACGTGATAACATTTATGAAAAACAGTCAACATTTAGCTTAACTTCCTAATCTTAAAGTTCTTGTAAAAAAACTTAAGCTCCTACAAAAGAACCTAAATGTACGAAAATGACTCTGGATTGTGCAAGAATGGTTAAAAACATGATTCATTATCATTTATTAACAAGATCGATATAACGCCGGGAAATTAAACACCAGCCCGGATAATTCAAACCCCCTGCTAACTTACACCATCTTTCTTTTCACTTGACCGTTCGAGCCAGCGAGGTTCTACTGCAATTTTCAGCAATAAATATTTAGCATTCATTTATGTCACGTGCTCTTGTGTGTTGTAGGATTATCAGGGATCGTTTGGTATTGTGCCTGGGAGATGATCGTTCATGATTCCCCAACATCACATCCCACCATAACAGAAGCAGAAAAAAATTTTATTGAGACAAGTATTAGTGGATCTGATGATAAAGCTGAGGTGAGGGGACATTTGAGAGGGTCAGCCGGAGAAAGTACAAAATCTAGATTTATTAGGGGTAGAGATTGGGGTGGAGATTGATGTCGTTGATGGCAACAAATTTTGATTGGTGGTAGTTGATTGGCTAGCATGCTTCCATGCTTCCGCTGAAATTGCTCCTTTTCAACAAATTTTTCATGCGGCGTTTAAGATGTAATTTCGCAACCCGGACAATCACGGAAATTTGTTTTCGCCATCTATAGTTAGGGCGACGAAATTCACATATTTTCCCATCAATTGAATTAAGTTCGTGACTGTTTGAGTATTGCTAGCATATAGAACCGGGAAAAGTTTTACGTGTTAAAATAAATGACTTTTTCTCCTAAAGTTAATTGGTCTCCAACTTAAAGGCAAATTTGATGTGACTCTGACAGTCTAGCCTGCCTCGTTGATTAAAAAAAACTAGGGTTTACCTTGTATGTTTTGTGACCTATGTTTTACTTGATAACGCCTTGAACTCAAATCACGAAAATTAATTCCAGAATCCTCTAGATTTCAAGTCTAATCTGCCAATCTAGCTTTCATCTTTCAATTGCTGTTACCAGCGGATAACGGCTAATTTTTTTTAATTTCCAGTTTGAAAGGCTTCCTTGGTCAGATATTTTGAAGTCACCACCAGTTTGGGCCATTGTGTTCGGCCACTTTGGAGCATGCTGGGGATATTATACACTATTCACTGGCATGCCCACGTATTTTAAAGACGTTTTAGATTTCGATATTGAGCAGGTAAATAAATTAAATCTTAGGTGTTAGTTTTCGATGTGACACAATAAGTATTTTTTCCTATGATTTTATAGAGTTAAAGACTATGAAAACCACCAGAGATAAGTTTGCTTTTTTAGCTATTGTTGTTGCTGATTTTTTTTCGGGCGAAGTTTACTGGTAAGCCTCGAGCATATTGAGTGAGGGTTATTGTCTGTGTTTAAAAGCGTGTTTGTTTGACAAGTATTATGGTTATAAGCTCGAAAAAGGGATGAGTGATCTATAGGCCTTCAGGGCAGTCAAAGTTTTTCTGAATACATGGGAGGGAAGAGTGTCTGTAAAAAGTGTGAATTCGCCTACCGACACAGAGACAATGTCCATTTGTTCTCGTTTCAGACTGGATTCCTAGCAGCCTGCCCGTATTTGTTTAAAGCCATTCTAGGTCCAGTAGGAGGGGTAACAGCTGATATGCTCATAAGATACAAGATTTGTAAAATCGGTACAGTAAGGAAAACTTTCTACGGGGCAGGTAATACTTACATCTGCGTATCTGTACGTAAGTAGCATGCAATCACTAAGGTCAAAAGTATATAACTTTATAATGCTTCCGCTAGGGTTTACTGTTAATATTTTTACCCTGCTTTTAAATTTCGAAATAAGTGAAAGATGGAGATAATGCGGGTGACTCGCATATGATTGTTTTTGTCGCGGTGACTGGTACTCATTATTAGTGTTAGATTTCCGGACTCATTATCAGTGCCAGATCCCCGGTAAACCTCTGCACGACTTGTTTCGAATATCCTCGCGGAATGTGAACATGCGTCCTGTAGCACTGATCAAAAAGGACCTGCTCGCTGGCTGAGAATTACTGAGTCGCGATGGATTCTAAAAAAACAAATGACAAGCGAACAGTAGCGTCGAGTTTTAACTGTTCAGTTTCGCCTTAATTTAAGGCCCTACATTTTCAATCTAGAGTTTCCACGTTCTTTGTTTGTAATGCTCCACTTCTTTTGATAATCTGAGCACATTTGGATAGATGTATGCGAGCCAGACTTCAGCCTTACTTGATGGTGGATTAAGTTCTAACCTCAAGATTCGCCTTAAAGATAAATCTTCTCCGATTCTGTCCACAGGTTGTTTATTAGCTGGAATATTTATTGTGGCAACAGGCTATACTCAGCAAAGGAGAACAAGTGTTATATTCTTGGTGTTGGGTGTTGGATTTTCTGGTTTAAATGCTATTGGTTACGCTGTCAATCATTTAGACATTGCCCCGCCCTTTGCAGGGGTGCTTATGGGCCTTACCAACACATTTGCATCAACTCCAGGATTTATAAGCCCTCAAATAACAGGATTTGTTACTTCAAACAAAGTAGGTAGACTTCTATACGATCAAAAAAAGAAAATGAAGAAAGGATTTGAATGCCTAATAAAGGCTTAAACTTACGCGCCCTAGGAAGCTTCATTTTGTTCTCCGCTAGAGAAGAAGTTGGCTCAGTTAAATCTGACCCGGGAGGTTTGCTAAGGGTCCAACAGAATCAGTACCAGACCCCCTCTCCCTGCCGGTCTAAAATCTTTCCGCGGGCGGAGAAACGCGCGTCTTGCAGAGCTAATAATAAAGTCTAGCTCGCAAACTTCAGGTTTTTAATGCAGTAATTGTCTTAAATCTTTTAGAAACAAGAAGAGTGGAGGATAGTATTCTGGATCACACTTATTGTTTATGTTATCGCCGTAATTTTCTACACGTGGCTTTGTTCAGGCGAACGCCAGCCGTGGGCATCACCTCCTAAACAGGATGACATAGACAAAGAGGAATAAGACTTCACGGCTCATCATTTGCTGCAGGCAGAATCATACAGTGATACAGTTGTCGCTATTTAGTGTGGTCCATGGTTAAATGTCTGTGTCACGGTGGCAAGTTGGTTCCAGTCTTCGCTCTCTTGTTCCATGCTATCAGTGTGAAGCAAAGAGTGAAGGAATACTTACTTCCGTGTGGCTCATAGTGAGACGCAATAATGCGACCTCATCACCTGACCGAGGCTAGGAGTACGGTAGTTTGAAAGGCGTGATCAACTACTATACGTTTTTATAAGACCTGTATCATTTGCGAAGAAAAACATCGAAAAGCCTGCACATATGAATAATCATTAGATAAACTTCAACTAAAAAATAAATCAATAATCGCCCAACTACCTCGCAGTATTTCTTTATATAGCGGTAAACATGTTCTGTTTCTGGAGAGAGGGGGAACATTTGACACTCAAGTAAAGAAAAGAATTAGATGAAGTCTAGCTACACGAATCTGCTTTCTCTAAACTGAAAATAACTTGTCTTTACAGATTTCACCTCTCCGAAAGGGAATGGCAAGCGGTCACAGTAGCCCGACACCTGTGCCTGTCATCTGTTGAGATATTTCATCCATCACATATTCTAGCTTGAACGCGATTGGTCGAAACGCTTTTAGTGAACTTATACGCACCAGCTAAAACAAGAAATTTTCAAACGTATTTGTTTCCTTGAGGTTTTATTCTTTATGTTATATTTATAGTTAAGTTTCTGTTACTTAGGTCCTTTATCTCTTTCATCGGTGACAAAGCTGTTGATACATACTATTACGCAAAGAGAAAAGACCGCTCACAATACGCTGCTAAAACTGTTATTCTTTAAAGAATATACTTTTCAGCATACCGAAGAGCTTTGCTCCCTATGTAGGGTAAATGGAAGGGGGGGAGGGAAATGAGACAGTTATGGAAAAGAAGATAAGGTAACGAGAAGGGTAAAATACCACGAAAGCACGGGTTAAACCCAGTGATGTCTCAACGATTTTCTGTTTTTAAAATGTAGTTGTCATTGTGCATAATAACGATAAACAGTTTTGACAGTGATAAACATGTATATTTTAAATCTGTACCAACCGTACTTAAATAGCAGAGTTAAAGTTCTGCGTTCACATGTCAGAACTGATCGCACTTTTCCTCCTCCCCTTCTGAACACAAAAAGAGAGTCTGTTTTGAGAACTAATTTACAAACCTGGCTTGTTATTGAAACAAGCATCAGGATCAGGGACTTCTCAGCCGCCCTTTCCTTTGCGGAGAATTGTGGGAAATCCACGGGAATGATTCAAGAACCCAATTAAGAAGGAACCCAATATTTTGTTTCCTCGAGGTTGACTGCAATATCTCGGTAATACCGATATAATTACTATCATCATTATTAAGGAACCTCTTACAGTTTGGTATCCTTTTTCAAGAGTCAGGTTTTCTGCTTTTCGTAGCCTGTCCTGACCACGTAACAGTCAAATGTTGGGGGTCACCTCACAGTTATTATTTCGCCATATTCACCAATAGGACTTGAGCATGGAGCATAAGAACGTTAACAAGGTATTAAGATTGCGTGAGGTCGAACCCAAAGCCAACCAAATATTCCTATACTGATAAGTATCCGTATTTTCTTAAGACTGGGGCTCCGCTTTAAGCTATTCGCAAAAAAAAAAAAAGTTACTTGATATTTATACAGTGTCTAGTAATAAATAGGAAAACTAAGAGGAATGCATGACAGCACTGGTTGAAATAAACTTAACAAAATAATAAGTTATTTAGCGGAACGTTTAAAAATATATGCTTATGAAAAGCGTAACATTGACTCATATAACGAGTACTGTGCGCAAACTGACGTTCACTTTCTGCATTAAGGAGTTATTTCTGTATAACTTCGCTTTCGCCATTGTCAGAAGTCGTTTCTTCATCAGTAGAATCCTGAGGAGCGTCTTCAATTGGGAGGGTCTCGTGAAGATACTTGAGCAGGCCTCCTTCAGCAAAGTCAGCCACTGTGTGCCCCTGACCAGTCATCACCCATCTGGTGGTCAGTAATCCTTCCACACCCACAGGACCCCGGGCATGGATACGACCCGTGCTGATACCTACTTCAGCACCTAAATAAAACAATGGCGTTTACTTAGTATCCTGTACCTTTGAAGGACTCGTTGAATTCCCCTTCCGGCTACCTCGGGCAAGTTCCGCGAAACACAATACCCCTACGCAGGAAAAGAAAACCCTGATAATCCACTCATAGGAACAAAGGGTAACGTGCATCCCCGACCAAGGCAGTGGTACTATACCGGGCGTTCAAGGTGCTGCTGTTTGCAGAACTGCTAGACACAGTCGAACCTGCATCAAGCGGTCACCATGCACTAAGCAGTCGGTTTTCGAAGTCCGAAATTTTTCCTTTGACGACTGTAATTTTCACCTCTATTAAACGGTCTTTACATGTACAACCACTCAAATAAAACTGAATATAGTCCTTCTAGTAAAATTGAATCCATGTTTATCTCCCGAGATCAATGTTAGATGCATTTTTTAGCGAGTTTTTTTTTTTTTGCAACAGGTCGTCAGTTATGGCTTCTCTACAGTCTCGCTGACTTAACGAGCCCGAAGCAATATTTCAAAATAAAAATTTACAGAATAGATCAGCAGGTTCTGGCGCCGGCATCCTACCCGGCACATTTTGTTTCTTTAGCTGATAGTTTTATTGCATAATTTACCAAACTTCTGAAGCCCCCACATTGAGTGAAAGTTAAGTTACCAGGACCTCCGAGAAACGGGGCCTGGTCACTCACGGAAGTTAAAGGTTTAAAAGCTTCTAGTTCCACATGACTTTATGAAACGAAAACGAAAAGTAACAACACTACATGAAGAACACTGGCCGTGGAGGATTTCATCGCCATTACAGCGTCAAAATAAGAAATCCAACTCCACCACTATCGTTGTTGCGCGCCTGCGACCTGTTTCCCAGACTTATGGTATCTACGAGTAAAGTAGCCCTTTTTATTTATTAAAGCTTTCCTAAAATGTGACTTGACTTTTATTTTCTTTTGGGATAATTTTTTTTTTACACTTCATACTCCATGAATAAAATCGAAGCAAATTTCTCCTCCCACCGGCTCATTTCTCTTCAATTTTGCGCTTCACGAACGGAACTTTTTACGGCAATTGTGTTCCTGTAATACCTGAGAAAAATGTTTCATACTTACCCAAGCCAAAGCGATACCCATCCGAAAATCTCGTGCTTGTGTTGTGGAAGACACATGCACTATCCACAGCCTTCAGAAAGTGATCAGCAGTCTCTCCTGAGAAAAACACATTTTTAGGGTTTTTTCAGTAATATGCACAACGAAAAGTATTAGATGCATCTTGCGCTGCTTAAAAATGTGTGAACTGAATCATACGTTGCGTATAAAGAAAAGGAGAAATATGAGCGAGCTGCGTTTATTGCCCAACGTAATGAAGCTTACATAAATTCCCTTTTACGTTCTTACAGAAAAAAGAACAAACAAACAAACAAAACAAAACAAAACAAAACAAAACAAATAAAATAAATAAAAAAAGGCAACAACAACAAAAACACAAACAAGGCATTGCTCACAGAGCAAGTGACTCACGCATCGAGAGCACTTTTTTCCTTACACCAGATTCATCCAACCAGGTGACCCATGGAACATGGGGTTGTGAGGGCTGGGGAGGGGGTGTAAACGATTCTTGCGCAAAACGAAGACGGACTGCTCGGCAGATTGAAGAGCTGATGGCTACAGAAAAGACCCTCAGAAGTGGGCCTCAGAATTATTGAAAGAAATGACCCCTACTGGAACAAACTGACGTTGTATTGTTATAATGTAAACTTTTGCAAACTTTTAGGCAACATCTCCGTTGGTTAAAATTGCGTGCGGCGGCAACTTCAGAAAATCCAATGTGGCTTTCATTTGTTTCAAATTCTTGTACAATTTAGACCTTGCGTCCAATAAATTCTGACGAAACTTCACATTGCACCCAATTTCATCGGCGTCACGGTAACTTGTTCCGCTAGTAAAGGTTTCCTTTCAGGAGATTTGGTCATTTATGAATCTTTTTGGATAGCCACAATTAGTATATACCGAAAAAGTCGAAAGCGCGCTTTGATTGGCCACTCAAACTCCGAATATCCTTTTCTCTTCACCTCCGAACAACTCGCGCGAAAACCGTTGCGACACAAACAGAGATGATAAGAACCCTGATTACCGAGAGATGAAGGCTAAGATTGAGTACGATATTCTTACCATTATCGGTGATAATGACATCAGTATGTGAGCTTCCAAATTTATGGATGTGATCAATGGCTTCCTCTGTGGTCCTTACCACTTCCACCGTACACTCTAACCCACTGTACTCTTTCTTCATGGTCTTAGCAGGAGCTGGAGCCAGCGGTAAAGTCTTCACTAAGTTGGGTCCGGCGTGAACTATCACCTTGAAAAAAAAAAAAAAAGACAAATAAAATCGATAGGACGGAGAAATAGAAAAAGCAAAATTTGCAAACGGCGTGCTACTGAAAAAGCGTTATTGTAGTTATTGGTGGTCTTTACTTTGGAGGACGCACATTTCGTCCAGCATGTGTAATGAACGAACTTACGTAGGTTAGCGACGGACAAATAAAGCGCACTGACTGAAAAAAATGTCCAGTTTTGTGCTTCAATTTAACTCAACGCGGTCTCCTCATAGTTTTGTCAAATTTTGCGATTTTGACGCAAAGAACGCGAGGAACGATAAAAAAGATATCACTTGTGCAAAATAACGCACAAAAATTTATAACCGTTGAAAAGCAACGCTATAAAACTTTCCTAAAAGCGAACTTACCTCACGCGCTCATGTTGCATCCACCACAACAAGTTCAAAGCAGTGTGTTATATAACATTAACTCTTTAACCCCTTGGAGCGACTAACATGTATTTTCTTCCGATTCAAATGTTGAGGTAATGAAAATAAGGGAAATGATCACCAACTAAAGAAACTCATGATTTTCCTGTTATTATCATTGGAAATGTATAGAGAGCAGTTTGGGAAAAGCGCATACTAATGTTAGGGATTAAAGGGTTTCGACTTACTCCTTTTTCTCTAAGAGCCTTCAGCATCCGTTCCAGAAATGGTGACCTTATGAGATCCCTGTGTACCAAAAGAGTCTCCATAGCATTGCAAGCTGCAGGATAATCGCATTTGGAATCCACCACTAGAAACGGAAAGAATAGAGTATAATGTAACCAAAATACAGATGATCAAGTGAAGTTTAACGGTTGTAAATGTACGACCACTCACATCCGAATGTTTCTCTTGGCAATCATTAAGCCCAAACGGGTCAGCGATTGAAGAACGGTTTAGTTTGAAGATATTGCCCATGAAAGCTCGGTAAAATATTCATTGTTGACTAACATTTTCAGCCTTGTTGGGCCCAATACGTTCCGCGCGTTTGAACATCTAGGTGAATAAATTTTTAAAGGTGTTGGCTATTACTGGAAATTGTAGCGAACCAAAATTTTCGTATTCCATGATCCTTGAGGCACAGTGAAACCAAGTTGCGGTTTTGATCCCACGCACATGAACCGCGAGCAGTGTCCACGAAGTTATGCTAAAGATTGCAAAATGCGTGTTCGTGTCGCATCATTCGCACCCGAATCAAAGATGATTGGTTAGGAGAGAGCTGTGAGTTTTCTAAACCAATCACGGTGCGAAGTTAAGCAATCGCGGGTCATCACGACTTCCAATTGAAAATGAAGCAAAATCAGCAAAGGAACGCTTCCCTCACCAAGCATAAGGTACAATAATGAGTTAAATAATCCTTACCAATCTTGGTGGCTATTTCAAGATCTGCATCTTTATCGACATACACATGGCAAATTCCCTCAGCATGCCCAAGAACAGGAATTCCTTTGCTCTCTGTCTGGATGCGCTCAATCATCTCACTGGAGCCTCGCGGAATGACTAAGTCCAGGTATTTATCCAACTGAAGTAGATCATTTACCTCTTCTCGAGTACTGACCTATCATAATAAATACACGATCAGTATATAAAGACTACAGCACTGACAGGGTTGCACTCGGCTCACAGAGTTCGATGACAGATCTGTGACAAGGTTTCCAAGAGAAATGATCGCCCGGAATTCAGTAAACGGCGAGCGAAAAGAACGGGGATGGGTACACGCAAAATTCCTTCATTTAACACACTTTCGCTACAATCGCGCTTCGTTTATTACAAAAATTTCCACTTAAGTGTTCAAAGTAATTCGGAATCCCTTTTATTTGGGTTTACTTTACTGCACCTTGCCATTGGTACAGAAAACTCCTACTACTTCCTCAACCGATCAGATCCAAAACTAAAACAGAGGCGAAATAGTTACTCGTATTTTCCAGCACTTAAAACTGTTTTTATGACACCCGATCGAAATGCGGTCTGAATAAACGCCTGGAACAGGGTACCCACTTTTCCTGTTTTGGAAGTCAAAAGATTTTCGAAGCTCGTCCCAAGAAATCATTGAGAGTGTAAAACACATACTGAAAGCTATTAAGTCCAAATTCAGTGTGGGAAGTAAATTTAAATGCAAAACAGTTAAGAAGGTTGAAATTGAGGGCAGAAAAATTCAATTTTGAGGTAAAAATTGCAATCACTCAGAACCGTCGCAAAACTTACCAAACTAACAGCTTCCGGAGGAACGTACATCGACAGAGCCTCTGCAACAAGACTGTGAAGACATCTGTTGCTGTGATAAGCTTCTTTGCCACCCTTCAGAAGCAAACCATTGCCTGTGCTGATAGCTAGAGAGGCAACCTTGGATAAAAAAAATCCAGCTTAAGAGGAGGAAAGCAAACAAATACATGAACAAACAAAACCAGAGAAAGAAAAAAATCCCTTTCGTCTTCTTTATGTGAGGTTAAAGACACCTGGGGTTTACGAAAGCAGAACTTCAGTGTAATAATTTAACTTCACCTCAACTCAAGCAGTAAACTAACAAACAACAAAAACAGCAACAATACACAAAAACAGCAAACAAACGAACAAACAATGAGCAAACAAATACTGTCCATAGCTTAACGCCACGTAAAGTCAACTTCTAAATCTTATAGTATTATGTAAAGTCGTTTAGGCATAAGCTATGTATTACACATACTTTTAATCTACAATTTTAGATAAATAGAGAACAAACTCAATTCTCAACGTAGTTCACAAGTGACTTTTGGATGTAACAGAGTTGTTTCCCATTGAAAACATACGCGCGGCAACACTGCGTGATTTATTTAAATACACGTCAATACTACAGTGAAATGATGCTTAGATATTTGACTCAATCCATGGCAACCCTTATATCCATTCTGTTTTCTAAGAGGTCGTATCTTTCTGTTTAAAACATAACGTTCAGTAGCCGTATCTCATATACACGAGTAATAATCAACATGTGTTATAACATAGCTAGTAAATTTGTGTAATCAAATTCAATTGCGCGAGCGTGCTTCATATTCCTATTGTGCACGCTCATGGCGTCAGCAAACAAATCCCTCGAGGAAAAAAATTTTCCATCTGGTTGAACATGTTATAAAACAATTGGTTCATACGTCAGCTGCGCGTTCATCGAGATATGAAGCACTTGGAAGTTTGAAGAGCACTCAAGAAGCTAGAGTTGCTCTCGGCTACGCCTCGAGCAACTCTTACGCATCTTTCGTGCTCTCCAAACTTCCCGCTTGCTTCAAATCTCGATGAACGCACGCTGACGTATGAACCAATTGTTAATTGACCACAGCTGTACCTGCACTAGAGCATCTGGGCGAGATTCAAAAATCACGAGAAGCACTCCAATTGGAACAGTTTCCTGTTTCAGTTCTAGACCTTGAGCGATTTTGGTTCGTTTAAGAACACGACCCAGGATGTTGTGAGAGGAATCCGCAATCTGTCTCAGTCCCTGAGCAAGATTTTCAAGTTTGGACGGCGTCAAAAGCAATCTGGCCATCATGGGAGCCGGTAGTCGTCCCTCAAACCGAGCATGGTCCAGATCTTTGGAGTTAGCGTCTAAAATCTGATCCTTGCGTTCGATTAGAAGGTCAGCCAACTTGTAAATGATTCTGGCCCGCTGAACAAAACACATAAAAAGAAAAACAAAAGCACATCACTTAAACTGCAAAACAACACGCGAAGTTTGAGTATTGAAATAACAGATAAGGCATGAGGGGACTTGACTCCGAGTCGAGCTTCAAAAAATTAGGCTAAGGAAAACAAAGAGAGACAAAGAGTTAGCGTCTAAAATCTGATCCTTGCGTTCCATTAGAAGGTTAGCTAACTTGTAGATGATTCTGGCCCGCTGAACGAAACACATAAGAAGAAAAACAAAAGCGCATCACATAAACCGCAAAACAACACGTGAAGTTTGAATATTGAAATAACATATAAGGCATGAGGAGACTTGACTCCAAGTCGAGCTTCGAAAACTAGGCTGAGTAAAGCAAAGCGAGAAAGAGAGAGGGAGAAGAAAAAAAAAGATGCTAACGAATACCGAGCGCTACCTCTTAGCCAAAGGGAATTTTGCGTCATTTTTTGCCGAATTTCTCGTTCTGAAATCAAGTTGAGAAATCTGGATGATTTGAAATGACCTGAACTAGCCTGCACGACAGACGTAATATTTTTGCGTTTCATCAATCGAACGGAGGCAAGCGAGAGGCGAGCGCGAGGTGCGAGTCAAGTGCGAGGGGAGGAACGTGTTACTTGCGCTCGCCTTGCGTTTGCCTCCGTTCGACTGAAAGCGCAAAAAAAACTCTTTCCTGTTCTGCTAGCTACACCTGAAAAAGGAATTAAATGAAGAGTAAACAATTACTTGACTATAGGCGTTTAACAGAAGTCTACAACCGTACCTGGGCAGCGGTCAGTGCTTGCAGAGCTCTTCCTCCCTTTCGAGCTTAGGAAAAAAGAATAAAAAAAAAAACTGAAGAACACATTTTCGCAGAAAAAAGAAAGATAAATTATAATCTAAGAAAAAAATTCAATAAAACTAGTATATCCCGAGAGGAAAGTGCAAAATTCCATGCAGTTGTTTAGTACAGTCACATGATCAACCTTGATCTCTCGGCATACCATCACATCGGAATAACCTAACCACTAGTTTTCGGTGAGGGGGAGAAACCATATCTACAAAACTGCCCCCATCTTGCATTATAGCATCTGAAATCAATATTTTCACAAATCCTGCGAGAACATGACCAGTTAACATCCCGATTTTTTCATTTCAGGATTCTTCTCCTCAAGGTTTCTAAATAAGTAACTTTAGTTCGAAATGAACCAGTATCAGATGGCCATTAGAGTTCGTACTCAGCGAGAATTTTAAACATAAAAACAATAACAATCAAGTTTCGATCTAATATAACTCGCTTTCTGATTAGCCTGCTGCTCTCATTTTCGAACCAATCACGGTAAGGTGAACAACAAAATGACGATGACATGGACTGAGGTACATTCTGACGTACCTGCCGCAGCCTGATTCTCTACAGATGGCCCTGGTTCGTCGACCATAGTGAAGAATGTTCCAACCTTCCGGCCATCCAGAACCTCACGAATGACGTAGTCACTGCCAGTACCATTGGCTATAACAACACTCGTACCTCTCTCTAGTGCCCAGGCTGCGGCCTGAAGAGTCATGCAGAGGTAAAAAAAAAATGATGAAGTTACGAGTTGAAATAATTTATCGTTCAGATTCGATAAGTCTTTTTCTTCAACAGTTAATTGCACACGTAGACACGCCAAGCGAAACTGTTTCGATCTTTCTTTCCCCAAGATTCAAACGCAAACTTGCCTTTGTAAAAGAGTTATAAAACGATTTAGGACTCATACTAAATTTACTGTGAGGCGCCGTCCACACCGTGCTGTGACTTACGGTTATGCCTGGCGTTCAGTCTAATCCACTGAAAACGGAGATTTTCGAAATATTCTACCGAGTGGATAACTCTGAAAACGGTACTGTACTGTAACTAAGATGTACTCAAATTATAAATTGAAAAAACCCTACCTATATATAGATCGTACAAAATTTGTATGACTTGGCTGAATTTCAGTGAGGTGGACTTAAAATACCTGTCTTTCTGACTTCAAGTTTTCCTTAAAATTCAGTATCCTTTTCGCCTTTACTTTTATTATAATTTTATCACGTCAAAAATAATGTTGTATCACCATGTTTTTGAATGACAGCTCGTCACTTACGAACGGGAATTTCAATGCGATACACTGTCGAAAATTTCTCTGAGGATTTTGGTTGCGTCAAAATAAAATTCTCTTAACCTCCTCTCGAGAATCTGTAATATTCTAACAATCCCCGCTCATTGGCAGTCCTCCCTCTAAAAACTACGAGAGCCAAGTAAAAACATTTCTCCGAACCCTCTCTCTCCCCCCCCGCGATAGATAATGACCAATAGTGGCTCTTACTTGGTGTAGAAGATACAGTATACACAATTTACTGTATCTTCTACATCAAGTAAGAGCCCCAATAATCCCCTAATTAAGATTATGTATGGTTATCACGTATGATTAAGTACGAACCTTCACTTTAGACTCCATGCCTCCTCTGCCAACACGTGACTTTTCTCCAAATTCAATATTACTGACGTCCGCTGGCCTGAATGTGTCCAGAAGGCGAGACTCGGGCAAGTCAGGAGGGCCGCTGTAAATGCCCTGCACATCTGATAATATCAACAGCAAATCTGCCTTCAGTTCCACTGAGAGCAAGGAAGATAAACTGTCATTGTCCTTTACACTTATCACCTGATGAAAACAACAAGAATCGGATATTTTTCTTAGAACACTAGAGTAACAGACACGTTCTAATCAAATCCACATTTATGCTGAAGCTTCACAACAATATCAAGAAAGACTTTCCTGAGAGTTAAACAATAAATATGAGAAGTTTTCCTGAACAGTTCGCCGTGTTTAAAATCAAACTTGCCAGATTTTGAACAGGGAGTCTCTGAGAGCTTAAACTTTTTGAAGATGAAACTTGCTAGATCGTCGTAGAAGTCTTGCAAAGAAGACTTGTGAAATAAGAACAGTTAATTGTATATGCCCAACTATAGCAAATTTCTTTGACAAGAGTCTCTGAGGAGTTTCCTTAAATTCAGTGAATCATACTTCCCCGATCATTACACTTGCTAGAGAATACCAAACTTTAATAAATAGAGCACTTTTCAATTGAATGTCAAAAGAACAAACGCTATGTAATCCCAATGGCCAAAATTTTTACATAGTCATTCGCCAATGAGAACTCAAAGTGAAAAAGAGTAAACTGCTTGAAGCGCGCGGGAAAACGCCTACGACCAAGCCGGTTGGTTTTTAGTTTCGCATCTGATTGATTGAGAAGGTGGGGCGAGTTTTCTGGGCCAATCACAAAGCAAAGTTATGTAAAACCCCAACGCAATCCCGAATTTCTTTCGACACTCAACTGAAAATTATATCTTAAGCTAAGATTCCTATATATGCAGAACGACTGCAGAATTGTAGGGTTTGTATCTGCGATGTTGCGGATACAGTGATTACTCTCAAGTTTGTCCGTGATTAATCCTGAGA